ATGGCGATTTCTTTGACGACTGCAATATATTTCTGAATTGTTTGAGTGAATTGCTCTTTATTATTAAAATATCCAAAATTAGAACAAAGCCGAACACAATTTTGAAACTGACGTCTTTAGCTATGTCCTATGAAAATTTGAGAGTAATTCGTTAAAATCCGCAGGAGCACAACTCGTTTGAAAATCAGTAATTGCCGTAAAATTCTTCGGGATAAAATTGAATTTGAATATTACATTTTCAATGTTTTTCTTATTGCAGCGAAATGTATTTTATTAAATAACTCTGCGAGTTTTCAACATTTTTCGTTTAAACTTGGTCAGGTAGTAGAACTAGTCTAATGCTTTCATGGAAACCAATAAAAAATTTTTAGGCAAAATTAACACTCAGAGGTGTTCTGTAACCTTAATACCATACGTATAATCCTATAGAATTAAAAAATAATTTATATTATTATGCTTGTTTAGTACTTAGCAACAGATGAGTACTTAGCAATAGTATTAAAGTAAGTATATATCTGCGTATACCTGCATGCCCTTATAGAATTTTACGCGGGCTTTTACTGTAGTTGTGGACCTGGTGCCAAACTGAATATCATCTTTTAATAATTAATCAAAATGTTCCAACTTTCAACTTAATGATTTGGTCGATTTTCAAAGACCATGCATGATTGGGGCTGAGCCTCCTTAACAAAACAGAACAACTATGGCTGACTATTACTGTAGTTTTATCGAATGTAATTAAATTCTAATAATAATTAAATTAAATTTTGATATCTATAAAGTTTCCACATTTAATGCCGAGCCCAACCTCGTACGAGGTTGCATGCCATTCCGTCTTTTATAGTCCGTTCAAATTGTGCTTGAAGTGTGTATTTTGAGTAGGAGTGTACACCAGAACAATTAGACAACTCGATCTCGTTGTCTAAATGAGTGTGGTAAGGGGGGGGGGGCACCTTTCACGAGAGGAAAAACAGCCATTTCACGTGAAAAAATCTATTAAAAAATTTAAAAAGTACAAAATTATTTATAAAAAACGCTTTTAACTGTGTAAATCCGTGGAGTATTTATGGCTAATAATGCCTTTCTTAACCCGTTGGCCCATTTTTATGTTTACGAAAGTAAAAGTACCAAGGAAAGCTCAAAATTGAAAGAATTTTGTAAAAACAACCAATATAAAAACAACCAGTTGTATCACTGCTCACGAAAATACCCTTCACCACCTTTTTAATTAATATAATCTCTCCTCCTTATAATCCTTCCTCTCATGTTCCTCTCAACCCAGTCACAGAGTAGAGGCATACAGAGACGTAACTAGTGTACCCACCTTTTTTGTGCGCATGCTCGGCAAATTACTAGATGCATGCATCTGATTGGATGACGACTCACTTTAAACTTGCTGAGCAGACGCAGTTGATCATTTTTTGCCCGGTCGCCTGAAAAAAAGTGGGTACATGAAAACGGAAGCTTCCGCAGTGTTTACAACGGTCAGTTACGTCTCTGTATGTCTTATCTACTCTGTGACCCTAGACTTGCCCCAATTAAGTCTCTCGAATGGGTTTTGATAGGGTATATATTGATCTCATAATAAACTGGATATACCCTATCAAAACCCATTCGAGAGCAATCTCGTTCCCCG